AAGGCTCTAAAAATATTCTAGATTAAAGGAGGCTAAAGAGACATGACAATTGATTGCAATACCTAACTCTAGATTGAATCCTGTACTAGATGGGGGGAAATGCTATAAAACAAATTTATTAGATCAGTTGACAAAATTAGAATATGGACAGACAACTAGATAAAAGTTTTTATAACTCTGATGTTGTTATGTAAGAGATATTTTTATTGTTAGGAAATACACAGTTATTATTTAGCAGTCAAAGAGCCATGATATAAATAGCTTAGCCTCAAAGGGTGTGTGTTCATGTGTGCATGTATATGTATATGCATACACTTATACATACATACATGCATGTATAGATATACATGTATATGCATACAGAGAGAGATGGAAGCAAATGACAAAGGGGGTAAATTGTTAAAGATAGATGAATCTAGGTAGACGGAATAAGTATGTGTGTGTGTATGTGTGTGTCTTTTAATATTTTTACTTTTGAAACTTTTTTTGAAGTTTGGAATTATTTCCAAGTAGAAAGTTTAAACAAAAGGTACTTGAGCAAGACCTAATAAAAGATTCTTAATTTGAGTCAACACTACCCTATTTTTCCAAGACTGCAGCCTTTATACAGTATGACAAAATCTAAAATGCTGTTTCACTGGAGGGGCAGGATTCTCTCTTTTCTCTGAGCGTTGTTTAATCTGAAAGTTCAGAAAGAAAATAAGCAAGGATTCAGCCCATAAGTTCACTGTTTTTATATCATTTCTGGGTCTTATTCTGCCCTAGGTATTGGCTGGGATCCACCAAAACTTCAATCAATTTTCCTTTCTTAAGGAGATAAATGAAGCCCTTTGATTTTCCCAAAACTCCAGGGCAAACTTATCCTCTCACCATTAAATCATTTCATATCAAAGGAAACTAAGCTGTGTTTCTCCAGACTTCACCCAAGAGATAGAGACTTTCATTCCTCCCTCAAACCCTTGGGCAGTGTTTTTTGTTGCTACTTTAGTAGAAACTACGGAAACAGTTCCAGTTTACAGCAGTCCCTGCAGCAAGATCCCACACATGTGGCAGAACTGGGCGGACTCCTGCCCAACATTCCTACTGGGGGCTCTCGACACAGGAGCAGGGGCAGGAAGAAGGCTCAGCAATCACTTCTGCAGAACTTCCCCCTACAGAACTTTTACCCATTACCCCAAATTTTGGGTACACAGCTTGACCAATATTTATTTGTTCAATAAATACTATTTGAAGATACTCTCTGTTCTATCCACTGAGATGAAATTTTTCGGTTTGCTATTGTTTCTTTAATGTTTATGTCAAAATGTGCAATGTCAATCCAAGATGAGAGAATGCAGGCTGTGAACTCTGTTGGACCCAAATGTCCTCAAATGTGGAAAGTTGCCTTCACTCCTCCCCACCCCCACTGTGAGGATGAGGCCAGACACAAAGGAATATTCAATTCAATATCGTGTGAATGAATGACAGGAAATGGCGAATGAGTGAGTAGGAGAAAGAAAAATGCCTTGTGGAACAGGGAATTTGCTGAAAGTGGTGATTGTCACTCAAGTATGGTGAGTTGAGCTTTTCTTTTGACTCACTTCACATCACAGACTGATAGATCCATTTTAAATCAATGCTCTTCTTCTAATGGTCTTTACTGTGGCATGTCAGTCAGGCCAGGAGAGGTCAGGACCTAAATCTGGGTGGCTTGGCAGATGCCTTAGGCTGAATAGGCCACTGAGTCAGTTTCAAAGTTTAGCCCAGATTGGTAGAATCAGACAGGCATCATAGGTGCAGAGGAAAAAAAAAAAAAAAAAGAACAGATCCAAGGAATCAGTGAAGACTCAAGTAAGTAGACACAGAACACCAGTCTAGCCAGGTGAGGAAGCTTGGTGTACAACTCTTGGAGCAAGAACATACCTCAGCAGGCTGAAGAGTCATAGGAGTTTGAGACCTGAATCAGAGGTCTCTTGTCTTCTACTTCCTCTGTGTAAACTCATCGGGCTTTAATATTGTACATTCGGTACCAGAAGGGCAGGATGACCCCTACAAGTGAAACTTCCTCCTGGTCAACTCAAGAAGAGAGAGTGAAGCTTAGGTGGGAAGTTGTCAGTCCTCTACTCTCTTTAAGGAGATAGTCATGTCTCTAATGACTCACAATCTTGATTCTTCACCAGCTTTTGCTCCAGGTTGCCTAAGGTTTGGGCAAATGGACACGATTTCAAGCTTTGGTTTCAAATCCACTCGTAGTCTTTTACTTTACTAAACTGGGCTGGACCATGAATGAATAGAGCTTTCTTAGTGCCTAACTGACTTCTTGGTGCCTTTCTTCCAGTCCTAGGACTTTCACATTACGGGTCACAAGTACCCAAGAATACAGGCGTGTGCCAGAAGGGACTCAAAGCCACAGGGCAAACATAGCACATCCAGAACATCAATTGTGTGTGTGTGTGTGTGCATGTGTGTGTAACAAAATGTGAATGAATTCACAAAAACAAACTATGCAGCTTGAAAGAAATGCCAGGATCAATGCTTGTCATGTTTGCCATATAGGGCTCTGGGGAGTGTGCATTTACTCAGCTCCATGATTAGGGCACCTCCGGTGCAAGAGTTGAGAAGCTCTGCCCTCAAGCCGCACACACATCAATCCTACCACTGTGGAGGTGATGGAGGCACTAAAGGTGACTTCCATCCAGGTCATTCATACTTCCCACTCTGAGAGCTTCATTATGTGTTTTCTGAGCCTGGCTTCCTGAGCTAAGAGTGTCTCATCCTGAGTGCTGAATGCAGGGAAAGGGTAGAGAAAATGTTGAGTTGTCCCCAGAGGCTAGAACGTGTTACCAGCATAAAGATACTTCCCAAAACACAATCTCAAGCTTTTGCTGGTAGCAGCATGATTTTAGAACATCAAGCCCATATTTATATAGAAGTTCTGTTCGTCCTACTACAGCAAATGAAGTCAAAGATTTGAGTGAGGAAAGATAATAAAGAGGAAAGAAATGCTTAACTGTGCAAAGATAAAAAGGTATCTATAGCCAGCAGAGGGAAAAAACAGACTATGGTTGGAAAGACCATGAAGTTCATGGAGTTCAATCATGCCATCAAGTGCTTCAATTCTATCATGTTACTGTCTTATTGGTGTCAAGCTTGACTTGGATGCTTCCAGTTATAGGAACTCACTTCCTCCTCTACTTCATTATATTGCCTAACTCTGACTTCTAGAATATTCTCCTTTATATTTGGCTGAAACAGAAAGATGTGTGGCATAAATTTTACTTTCTATTTTACTTCTGCTACTCAAAGGAAGAGGAAGCTGTGGGTGCAGATGTTGCTAAGATAAACTATGACTTCCTCCATGACCAGTTTCTGCAGTTTAGGAAGGGCAGAGCTGAACACGTGTCTGAGTTGTGGAGTTAACCACAGACACTTAAGCAAATCAGAATCCTTTGAAATAAAATCATCAAAAGGCTAAGAAGCATCACCAGGGCTTTTGACTACAACCTAACATTCAGAGAGAGTTGATCAGAGAGAGTTGCTGACACACTAAAAAGTCATTACTTTTCTTTACATTGAAATTTATTTACTTTATTAAAAAGAAATATTTTTGTTGGTCAAGGTTGTTTGTACAAACTTGCAATTTTAATATTTAAAAAGTTGGAAGAGAATGATAATATTAGGTAATGATAATATTACTAATTTTTACTCCATGGATGAGGCAGCATCATGCTACTTCCAACTGATGGTGGCAACCCAAAATGCAGAGTCATGTTGTTAAAATAATGCATTCCCAAGATTAGATTGGTTAAATGATAACAAATGTACAGAGGTCATTCTGTTGTGACTGAAGCTCAAGTGATTACTAATATACACATTAATACAACAACGTCTCCTAATAATGGATATAATTCTTATAACTCTAGGAACCTTGCGGTGGGGTAGCCTGGAGAAAAAAAGAGGTAAGGGTGGCAGATCAATTGGTTTCCCTGCTAGTTGATATCAACTATCTCTGCCAAAATATTCTTCTCTAATTGCATAAAGTTATATGCAGCATGGATAAGAATTGTTTACTCTGCCATTCTACCTATTCTAACTCTTTTAAAGAAGAGAAATTTGTTGACATTTCAAAGCCTTGATCTCAAACATTTGAGACGTAAAAATCCCGAGGAGCATATTTTAAAGACAGGAAGAAAAGATGCCGTCCCCAGAGGATCTGACACATGAGGACTGGCATTTGATCCAGAAATCTGTATATTGCATAAACTCCTAGTTGTTCCTGTTGCTGGTGATCTACAGACATTTTTAGGATAATTGACACTGAAAGAAAATATTATGTGTGTCTGAAGTGAGCCTTGATTACCAGCAGGTGGCTCTATAACATCTTAAATCAGGGGCTTTGCAGCTAACTAGCTAGAAAATGAAGGCTCTGAGCCCTTTATTTCCTCTCAATTACCTTTTCAGGGGTTGGAGGTGGCGTGGGAAGGATAAATGGAAGAGGATGCTGGAATGTGATGTGGTAGACGGAAATGAATGGATATTAAAATAAATTTTACAATCATCACACTTGTCAGTGGCTCCTCTCAAAAGTATATAGTAACCACTATTGTTAAAAGAAATTTTCTCAAAGCATACCAGAAAAACTTAATGTCCAATAAATTTAAAAGGCACAGAGGCTCTTAGGGTCTTCCTGAACATCAAGCTTTCAAATCTGGGAGAAGCAATATTATGGCCATTGCTGCCATTCACTCTTGTCTCATTACAGAATTCCAGTTGTGGGCCATAAATACCAAGTGGGCGTGAGATAATATAGACAACACTACTTCCTGCTTAAGCTCTTTTTTCTCTTCTACCCAGTTTCTCAAGGACACACCAGTTGGGTATAATCTGGGAATGGGTCACAGTAACAACGACAAAACAATGGTCTCTGGCTCTAACCCAATCAACAAAATAACTGGATCCCAATCTTCTGTCTTCTGATGTCAGGAATGTGTAAGGTGTATCATGTGTCCACAAGTGTGTACCTCAGTGTCTCCATTTCCTTAGAGGCTCCTGAAGATCCCCAGTTGCTGCAATGATGTCACTCTTCCTGGAGGTAATTGCTGCTGCTGTCGTCATGTCCCAGCACCACCTATGTTGGTTGCATCTCCTTATTCTCCTCTGATCGTTATCATACAGTGTTTTGGCTTGAGCTGGGTGAATAAGGTTGGGAATGAATAGGAATAAACTCTACCGGCACGAGGCCATAAAGCAAAGCAGCTTCTACTCCATCCCATCTTTCATTTACTTGGCTCCTCATTTCACCCTTATTCCCCTTCCAGCCACCCCACTCCCCAGACAGAAAAAAAAAATTGTGTGTGACACATCACTGTGGAACTCAAAGCATCATATAACCTCACTCCCCTCTAGGCAATATCCCTAGACCAAATACATGCCTGTGTTCTGATTCTGCTTGGGGTCTGTCCCTTCACCACCTAGCACACAGCCTGGGAAGTAAGACAGTCCTGAGGCTTAGCTCTGGGGACCAGGGACAGCCCTGGTCCCAATATCATTAAATCAATATGCTTCCTCCAAGGCTTTTTGGGTGCCTTTAATCAAGTAAAATCAGACCAGCTTATCCTACCAACTACACATGCCTGAACGGCAAGCTGTTTTGGTGCTTTATCTGGGATCCTCACTACTCATTTATCATATGAATCCAAACAAAACAAATTACTTGTAAAGTACAGACATTTCAAACAATAATGGAGTCTCCAAATAGAGGGCAAAGGCTGTAGTCAGCTCTTCAGGAATCCAGAAGGGTCTTTACCATTACATGTCACCTATTATTATTGTAAACCTGGTAAGGGCTGTTTATGAATAAAGCATATTAAAGAGCTTGGAAAATTTTTTAATATTTACAAGAGAGGCCACTTCAGGTTTTTGAGAAGGGGAGCAAAATTATTCACATTGTATTTTAGGAAGATGATTATGACAGAATGGGGAATGGTTGGGGAACTAAGAGCGTAACGGGGAAAAAATTTCTAGAAAAGAAATTTGTATATGTATTTACATAAATAAGATTGGTTGTGTTTAGTAAAAATGGATGAACAGTTTGATGAGGTGTTCAAGTAATGAAAAATAATTTAAGAGGTAGGGAAGCTACCCACTCAGGCCTTAGAATTACAGGTCCTTGGGGTGAGAAGTGGGGTTGGGAAGGCAAGCATCAGAGTTAAGAAAGGCCATGCATTTAGTCTCTATGTGCCAGGTCTTTGCATTTTTTCTCACTTTTCATAGCTTAGATAATTGGTTTCAGTGATTTATCTGAAAGACATATCACTGGACATTGGAAATTGGACATTTCCCCAAGCATTCTCCATTCTGCCATAGTTACCTTCCTAAAGTACAATGTGAATCATTTTCCTCCCTTTCTCAACAACCTGCAGTGGCCATTTTTGTCAATAGAAAAAAAAGTGCAACTCTTTAATACGCTTTGGTCATAAACAGCCTTTACTAGGTTTACAATAACAGGTAACATGTAATGGGAAGCCCTTGACACAATGATCAAGAGACTTGGAGTCACAGCTATGCAACTCACTAGCCATGAGATCTTGGACAGGGTTATGTAGCCACTAAGCCTCAGTATCCTTTGTAAAATGGGAACAATAAGAGTGCCTAATTCATGGGGCTCATGTGAAGATTAAATGAGAGTAAATGAACTATATTTCCCACTTCTCTCATATGTCACTCTAGTATATTTTCTGTTTCTCACATCTATCATTCATTGTCATAGCTTTGCCTCTGTTTTCCAAGTTACATATGCCTCTCCCATGCCAAAATCCTCCACCCATTTTCCATGGGCAGAAACTTTTCTCAGAATTCAAGACCTGGTTTGAATACTTCATCCTCTAACGGTGCATCCCTTGGCTCTTCCTCCATCAAAATATATACCTCTTTATTATCCTCCACTTGTGTGTCTCTGTTATCCCTTCATTCTGCCTGATATTATGATGCATAATTCACATATCTGACTCTCTTTTCTACTGGATTATATATTACCTAAGGATCATTTCACTTTTCTTCTACTCCTAGGACCTACCAGAATGATTTATACACAAAAAGCACTCCGTTTGCTTGTAATTATTCATTAAAATTTACTTACTTCAAAATTTCAGTCCTCCTGTTAATTGAGTTCTCTTCTTTTGATGTCATAATATAGTATGTATAAAAATATTAACTATCCAAACTCTAAATATTAATTTTTATTTTAAAAATATTTTTCCCTATACACCTATGGCATCGTAGAAAAATCTCACTGGTAATTTGGTTTCCATGACATAATAGGATTTAAAAAAAGACTATCTTAGAGATTGTTAGCTGAGTTTTTTTAAGCACATTTATTTTATGATTATAAAAGTTATGTAAAAACATTATAAAATCTTGGAAAAGAGAGAAAAGCACTGCGTATCCTACCTATCAAACATGAGCCTGTTCTCTAAGGCCTTGCTACTCACAAAGTGTAGTCTGGGCCAGGAGTATCTGCATTGGCTAGAAGCTTGTTGAATATTTAGAATATCAGGTCCATCTCAAATTGATTTAATCAGAATATGATTGATTTACATATTAATGTCTGAAAAGCACTGCTCTAAGACACTACTTAGAGCCCAGCAGAGCATGACATTTATCAAGAGCTTTAACCAAGCATCTCCCTCCTTCCAATAAATATTAAGTACCTGCTATATGCCAAGTACTGTACTAGACACTGTGTTTTCATTTGCTAGATTTTTCCCAGGACTGACTCAGGAATATATGGAAAAAGTGTTGCCCTCCTTTTGAATTGTTTTCTTGGGCAAATCAAGTAGCTGTAAATGTATAAGCCAATTTCAGAGAGGTGCAAATCATCTCATTCTGAAGTGGTTCTACTTGCTTTCAAGTTCTCACTCAGTGATGTCGCTAAGTGTCTAAAATTTGATGCTTTTTTTCTTTTTTCTTTTTTGAGATGGAGTCTCGCTCTGTCGCCAAGCTGGAGTGCAGTGGCAGATCTCGGCTCACTGCAACCTCCACTTCCTGGGTTCTGGCGATTCTCCTGCCTCAGCCTCCCGAGTAGCTGGGGCTACAGGCGCGCACCACCACAGCCAGCTAATTTTTGTATTTTTAGTAGTGACGGGGTTTCACCATGTTTGCCAGGATGGTCTGGATATCTTGACCCCGTCATCCGCCGTTCTCCGCCTCCCAAAGTGCTGGGATAACAGGCGTGAGCCACCGCGCCCAGCCAAATTTGATGCATTCTAAATATCACTCATTCCTTTGGTTAACAGTTGAAAAATAAGGGGAAAAAAGGCACTAAAATTAACATTTCACAGTAGAGACTAAAGAATACATTGTGTTTGCTTTAGACAGTTTCCATAAAGTTTTATGTTTGGAAATTTTAGGCTGAAGGGGAAGCCCTGAAAGCTGTCACTTCAAAAATAAATCTTAAGATATTACTTCACAGAGTGATTTTTCTAGGAGAGTGGGTGGGAGGAAAAAACCCAAAAACATTGTTGATGCAAACAGCTAGGTGACATATTCCCAATATCCTGTGGTATACTTAAAAACAAAGAATACTATGTTTATACTGAAGTGCCCTGTAAGTATTAGAAGATAAACGAAAACATATAACACACCTTCTTGACATACAAGTGACAATCCCCCAGACAAACCGAACAAACAAAACAGAAAAAACTGGGAATATTATGTAGCAAATCAGGTTTAAATGAATGTTAAGAATAGCCTGGAAAAGGAAATGTTAATAAGATGTCAAAAGGGGCCACTACGCAGCAGGAGTTATGTGTATGGAAAGGTGCTTTGGGGCCCAGGAGATAAGGTGGGGCCATTTGGTGATTAAATGTTAGCTGACCTACAGATCTGTATATGAGCCCTCAATCTTGCCTTAGCTCAGGCAACCGCTTTCTTTTCCCATAAGGTCCTCCTGAGTTACTGAGGACCTGTCTGGCCTGAGTCCCTCCGGAACACTATCATCGAGTATCTGGAACCCTACCATCAAGCCCTCCGGAACCCTACCATCAAGCCCAGAGTGCTTTTCTTGATTTGTCTGTTTGCCAGGATGTCCCTGTGATTTTCATGTGCAAAGTCCTCAGACCAGCAGAGACCTCATAGTTTTCCGTCACGGAAAAGTACCATTTGAAGGAGTAGGGAACACTGCAGAAAGCAGGGAAATGGGTTTGTATGCCTACGAGCCTCCATACTAGCGAGACTCGTTCCAAAATGGGATTTCCAATAGTGCCACCACATTCAGCTCCCTGAATGCTTCCAGACTTTCATTTCATCTACTAAAGGGAATTATATCAGCAACCCTCCCTGCCTGGTGGGGTACTGTGAAGAGCAAATGGGACAAGGAATTTGAAAAAAAGGTTCTAAACAACAGGACAATACAAAGATGTTTCATTATTGCCTCCTCTGTAAAACGGTAATAACTGCACGGGACTACTGCCTAGTAATGTGTAGGTGAAGCTTAATTATGTAATGCCTGAAACACAAACCATCCTAGATGTTGTCATCCAAATATGAGATACAACACCTTTCTGGGCCTCTTACCTATCATATTTCTGCTGCTTCTGTGGTTTACGGAAAACGTAACCCTTTCCGTGTGTGAACATCTGAGTGCTGACTGTGTGAGGGGCTGGAGGAAAGAGGACCTATCTGAGGACCGACTGGCCGAAGCCTGCAAGTTTCCACGAATGCAGCCGCTGCCGCGGGTTCTGGGTACACACACACACAGAGGAAGGCAGGAGTAACGAAGGGAGGAGACTGGGGAGCAGGGGAGGCGTGGGAGCGGGACAGAGGGGCAGCCCGGAGGGCGCTGGCCAATCGGAGCGCGCTCCGCCAGCGGCCAATCACGGGCCGCCTAGCCCGGCAAATCTGCCCGGCAGTGCGGGGAGGGGCTGCCGGGAGTCGGGGTGCCGCCGGCTGCACTTCTGTGTGTCTTTCAGGAAGCCACAGGGCAGGGGGCGTCTGTGCAGAGAAGCGGGGGAGTGAGTAGCAGGCAGGCCCAGCTTGTGTACCAGCCCAGTGACACATATAGAAACATAAATCAGGTTAGAGCCGGCGCGCCCGGGCGCCACATGTGTATGGACCGGCAGGCATGTCTGTACACTGGGTGGGCACCTGTCTTGTGAGTGGCTCCGGGTGTGGCTACTCCTCGGACTTTCCGTTTCTGTAAGATTTATCTGTAGGGGCCTACCTTCCCCCATCTCCAGAGGGGAACGTAAGAAGTTTAACGGAGCGGGGACTGAGCAGATTAAGGGAGTGGAGCAGAGGCTGGGCCGGGGAGAGTGGGGACTGCGGGTGCTAGTGGGTAGGGATCCATCTGTTTGCCCCGTCTCCCAGCCAGAAAGGCATTTTGGAAAGGCTGGCGTGGCAAGCGTCGCCCTGAAACGTCCACAGAGCCGGAGAAGTGATGATCACTGAGTGAGTGGCACTGGGCTGAGACTGGACAGTTTGTTAACAACAGGGATGCTAGCAGTTAGGAAGGCTAGGAGGAAACTCAGAATGGGGACCATCTGCTCTCCCAACCCCAGCGGGACAAAGACATCATCGGAGGTCTGCAATGCCGACTGGATGGCCTCGCTCCCCCCTCACCTCCACAACCTCCCCCTTTCCAATCTGGCAATCCCAGGTATTCGTCTATTCCTACTTGTTCCCACTGTGTTTAATTCTGCCATTTTAGTGTTGTTAAGGGGTTGGGTTGCTTTTCTATTGTGCTGAGAAATTAATTGTCAGTGACCCCTTTTTATTTTCGAACCAAAAACTTAACACTGAAGCAACTGCTTTGAAGAGATTTCAGTACACTGCATCATTGGTAAAAGGACTCATGAAAACGGAAGCATCGTTGTTTTTGCTTGTGGGTTTTTTATTTGTTTGTTTGTTTGTTTTGCTTATATTTGCTAGCCCCAATCTAAGAATATTATCCTTCTTACTGTTGTTATGTGTATGTGAGGGGTGCATTGACTTAAATCACTTGAAGGGGAAATCAAAGGTAATGAATTAAAAGTGACAAATGATTTAGATCTGGATCAAAATTAAAACTGAAAAATATTTTATTTCTCATTTATCTGACCTTGTGTATTGGAAAAACAAAAAATGGATAAGCATTAGAGAATAGGTTCAGAATCAGAACTGAGTATAAAGACACATTTTTTGTTGTTAGAAAAGCCAGAATAGAGAATGCAAACTCTCATCACAGGCAGTCATTAGGTGTGAGGAGGTGGTGGTGTTTGAAGCTTTGTCTCTCTGTGTATGTATGTATACAGGTGTCTGCTTGACTGATTTAGAACTGCAGCCTTGAAAAGCATTTCTGCTCCAGCCACTGTCTCTCTGCTGGAGGTTTTATGCCTTGACTTCATTTGTTAAGTGTGTCCTCTTCCTTCCACTCAGAAGGTGGTTATTGTATGGTTCTAGGGAAGGATATTTGGACAGTGAGTTTGGCCTGGTGTGCTGAGCAGGTCCTACAATGGGGATACTGGAAAGCACTCCTAGAAGCAGGGGATGGACTACTGCCCATCCTTTCTTTCACTCAGAGACATAACAATTGAAGTTTACCATAGACTACCAGACAAACTCCCAAGCATTCCCTAGACCCGTCTGGGCTTTTTTGAGGTTTGGTTGGTTTTTTTGTTTGTTTTTGGTGGCTGAAAATATGACCACATGCAACTCCCGATCTTTGCTTTCTGTGCACAAGGAAGAGCAGTGCTGGCTTCAGATGCAGGCTTTTCTTTACTCACCTCATCTTTTGGGTGTCTTCCAGGTTGATTGTCCTCATGGGCCCCGGTTGCTTTTGAGCAAGGAGAGGGCTGCGAAATTTCTTTATAGTTATGATCACGTATGTTTTATCAGCCATTGACTACAGCTCCTTGGGAAATGCCAGATGGGCATGCTTCGGAACAGGTCTTTTCCATGTTTAATTGGCGCCTGTGGAGTTGTCACTGAAATGATGCATGGGCCACTTTTAACATTAGTCATTTGCCTTCAGGCCTTCTGATGGAATTATTTTGTTGAGTGATACGGCAGGTAGTATGTGTTTGCAAACAGAATGGCATCTTAGGCAGGCCCTAAATGGCTGTGTCATTCAGGGCATGTCCGGGGTAGGTTGGGGCTTCCTCCTTCCTTGTACTTTGGATGGCTCAAACCACAACACCAGCTCTGCTAGTGGGTTGGCTGTGTACTCTGACCCCATGACTGTAGAATGGAGCTGGGCATTTGTTCTGTGATCCATAGGATAGCTCACAGTTACTAGAATTGCTGGGGTAGCGGGGGAGCAAATAGCTGGGACCTGCTGTTGAAACTGGAAATTGTATAATTAGCCACCATGGAGATCACGTGAATTCTTTCACCCTGCTTTGTGCAGTCCGGTCCTGCTAAAGCAAAAAGAAAAAAAATGGCTTTGATTCCTCAAAAGATGCTGAATTCACTACTGTGAAATGCCGTTTCCTCAGCAGTGGAAGGGACATTAAGTGTATGTATGTGTAGGCCCAAGACAAGAAAATAACATTAAATGCCAGCCATTCATGGACTTCCCCCTACTAGTTCTCTTTCCTCTACCTCGAGCTTCATACTCACCAGATAAAGGCTAGCAGTCAAGTTCTACCAATCCTTGCTGAGAAATCCCGAAATATAGAAGGCATTTGGGAAATGGGGGCCATGATCGTCCCCCATTTCCTCTTTAACTCTTCCCTCTTATCATCATCTGCATCATAATAGCTATTATGTACTGAGCACTACCATGCAGCACCCATTGGCATACAATACCTCCAGTCCTCCTAACTTCATAAAGTAGGTATTAACATCCTCAGTTTAGAATTAAGGAAATTATTGTTCAAAGAGGTTAAGTGATTTTCTCAAGATCACACAAATAGGAAGTGGTAGAAGTTGTATTTAAACCCCTATGTAGCTGCAAAACTGAGGTACTGTCTCTGTGCCCCTGAGGGGTCCTTGGGAATGGCAGAGCAGTGGGTGTAGTCTCTAACTAAAAGCCAGTTTCTTCAGACCATCCTGTGCAGTGAATGAAAGAATTTTTAAAAGCGAGTGGTATTTATCTAAGGGATTATCACTTTGAATATATAGGTAGATAAATACATATTATATGTACCTATCCACATGTACATATATACATATTATATATACATATGCCTGTTTAGCATTGGAACCCAGTAAGTTTTAAATTCAATTTTAGTGCTTCAACCTGGTGTGTGTGTGGGCATGCACCACATGCCCAATCTGGGGTGTCTATAGGACTGGGTCAGATCTATCAGGATGGCGATGGGGCAGGGGGACGTGGGAAAGGCCAGGGAAAAGACAAGCCCTCTGGCAATAATAGCAGGACTGAGATGGAGTAAACTGTGTCACATTTGAGTGCACCTGCTGCCTTTGCCTAAGTCGTGATAGGAGAGAACATGTGTGAATGTGCACCTCTCAACAGAGCCTTGATGTATTATTTTACTTCCGCAACTGTTAAGAACACCTGTTAATGGCCACTACCACCAAACATACTAAAATATCTTGGAGAAGAACCTCAAAATAATTCTTATTGCTAACTGTATAGAATCATTTGATGTCTGAAGGATAAAGGATCCAGACATCATAAAGGACAGATTTTTAAATTAAAGCTTTAAACTCTACAAACATTTTCACTGATGTTTGTGAAAGCATGATGTTCTCTGTGGACAAATGGACTAATGGGAAGACATTTCTCTATAATGTATACTGCTTTTCAATGAATTTTTTTTTCTCTGTACATTTTAATGCTGTCCCATTTTTTAAAAAAACACTTTCTTTCTTATTAAAGGTAAACTGCTTGGTTTACATTTTGGGAAGGTTCTATTGGGAAGAGCCTCAAACTTAAGGATTGCAAAATTTATCGTTGATTCTTGCTGTGTAATATTGAATAAGTATCTAAATTTCTCAGAATATAGTTTCTTTATTTGTAATTAAGCTATTGGGTTAAATGAAATATAGAGTCCTTTCCAGATTAAAAATTATGTGACTAATTTGAGTTTTGTTTTGTTTTGTTTTGTTTTATTTTGTTCCCTGTTCTTTGTCCAATGTAGAAAGAGCTGGAAGGAATGACTGGGTCATTTTAGGTCTAAAGGCTATTTCTTTTATGCCTCTTCAAAACAAGAAAATGTACAAACAAGGTTTCACAATTGCCAGAAAGCAGCAGGGTCTATTCACTTTAGCCTCTTAAAGGGGGCTGTAGATTACTTGATGTAAATGAACTTTTACCTCACCAGACCCTAACTGCACTTTAAGAAACCTCCATAGATATCTATCTATCTATCTATCTATCTATCTATCTATCTATCTATCTCTACCTTCATCATACATAGTTTTTTTAAAAAGAACTAATTAGAATAAATTTTACACCAGAGATATAAATAACATGTTACAGAGGCACACAGAATGGAAAGATTAATTCCACCTTCTGAGATTAGGAACTACCTTGTTGAGAAAATAGCATTTGATCTATAATGTGAGGAATGGTCAGGACTTCAAGGGATATGGGTTGAGAGTTAGGGTTGGGAAGGAGACTTTCCAGGTGGATGGGGGTGTATGGGGGTAAATGGGGGTATATGAGGGAAATGGCTAGAGGACACCCTCTCTGGTCCCTCCATATCCCTGTTATAGTTTCTTTGTCATAGTACTTCTCAACACATTGTTATTTTTAAGTGTATGTTTTTCCCATGTGAACAACTTGCTGACAGAAAATATCTTATTTCACTTTATAATCCTAAATCCCAGTAGAAGGTAACAGAGCAGCCCATTGG